TATTTCTTAACGAAAGTACCCTTGAGATAGCACTAATGTTAAAGGTAGATTTATATGCTGTTTGCTAGCCATTCTGTGGAAAACAATTAGCACATTCATGTTGTAAAACTATTTTCTCTCCCACCTAAAATGTAAATTTTGTTTTCAACATAAGTTTAGTATGTATTTAGATAATTATGTGGTATGATAAAAACAAAGCTAAGAGATATTATTGGTTCAGAAACTATTTATTTTAATCATTTCAGATATATCTGTACCTACAAAGAAATCTACAAAAAAATTAGCCTTTTGTTTTTCTAAAATAAAAAAAAAAATGTGACAATCATTTTACTTGAGTAAAATAAGAGTAAACCTCTGAAAGCTTCTAAACCTAAATATAATAAACCTATTTGGAGTTTTACGTATTCTTAGACATTATTTTTGTCAATGTATAACTGTTCATTAGCAGTAAATATAATATGAAATGCACAATGAAACACTTTTGATGAAATAGTCTTTTATATCTTAACTATGGATTATATTTGGGGATTGTGGTAGAAGTAATAATATGTGTTCATTGCACAATTTCCTATTTCTCAGAAATAGGAAAACTACATTTGTCGACCTCTCTTAAAGACAGTTTCAGGACCATGTAACTGGAATTCTGGTCAATGGAGTATAGAGTATATATTGACCTTAAAATCATTCCGTTTGCCTCTCCAGCCCTCTTCCTTTCCATGGAAGCTTAGAAGCCATGTGTTCCAGATGGTGGAGCTACAGTGAAAAAAGCTAGATACCTGGGCCACTCCTTGAAGAAGACCACATCAAAAAAAGCTGCCTTGGTTGGGTGCAGTGGCTCAAGCCTGTAATCCCAGCACTTTGGGAGGCCAAGGCGGGTGGATCACGAGGTCAAGAGATTGAGACCATCCTGGTCAACATGGTGAAACCCCGTCTCTACTAAAAATACAAAAAATTAGCTGGGCATGTTGGTGCGTGCCTGTAATCCCAGCTACTCAGGAGGCTGAGGCAGGAGAATTGCCTGAACCCAGGAGGCGGAGGTTGCGGTGAGCCGAGATCATGCCATTGCACTCCAACCTGGGTAACAAGAGCGAAACTCTGTCTCAAAAAAAAAAAAAAAAAAAAAGCTGCCTTATCCACATCACTAATATCATTGAAGAAGAGATCTTTGTTTCATTAAACCACTGTGATATTGGACTTTTGCAAAACATAGTCTAACTTGTTCTAATAGAGGACTACACTATTATCAACTAATCAAAATATTAATTGGTAGCTTAAAACCACAATTGTTAAAATGAACATGATCAATAATAATGGAAATGGCTCAAGTGATGATTCACTGTCCTCAAAACAAAAAGAATGAAGTCTACCTAAGTGAAATACAAATGATTTTACTTTTAACAGTTGAGTAGTAGAGTATGGAAAACTAACCATATATATAATTTGGGGCATTTTCTGTGTTGAAAGCCAAGAAAACTTCCTGAATTCTAAAAATCTTCACATCTTCCTTAGAATATCTGAATTATAGGCATTCTCAATGATAAACGTAACAATTTTTTAAATTTAAGAACATGATTTTTCACAGAAACAAGGTCATGCCAGCTATTCACATTTAGTTATTTGGATACCACCACCATATTTTCTGTTATTTTCACTTACTCTTTGTGGTGTTATTTAAGTCAATTTATAGCAGTTTACATTATGATGATACATTTTCTGGTTTATATGAAAATAAATACATAACTATCAGAATAAAAATTTTCATATACAACTTCAAACTAATCTTGTTACTGCCAGCAATATAAACATTCCTATTAGGGGCCACTCTATAATAAAGAATGGTAGGTTCCCAGGTGATCAAACTGCACCCTCCCCTATCCCAAATAGCATCATGTTTGTTAAAACATTATTTTATCAGCTAAAGATATTGAATTATTAATTGCATTTCAGCCCCCCAGCTCATCCACTTCCATTTTTATCTCATAACAAGACTTCCTAGTTTTTTGTCTAAAGGTTTTTGGCCTGGAGAAAAGCAGAAATAGTCTGAAATCTCTTTGATCTTAACTCATGGGATATCCTGGAGAGGAATGGAAGATCAATGAGGTGTGTAGAAGTATTCCCCCAGTAGTAATGGAAGAGGTCTGTGAGCCAAACAAGGCTATGGTAGCAACAAGGAAGGTGAGCAGACTTTGGAGAGATGACTGCTGGGTGTACAGGAGGCTGCATCGCAGGCATGAGAGCTCCCAACTGCACTCAGCTTCTTATGTACGTGGGGCTACATCAAGTCAGCAGTGACCTATGAGATCCATGAAAAGGCTGGTACTCCCAGTGGAAGAGATGACATGTAGCAGGAGGGTGGGGACAGAAACCACACTTGTGGATATAAAGACCCCAGAAACTTTGCAATTATGGTTTGGATATGGGGAGGGGATACAAGTAATACCAAGATTGAGGGTAAATTTGCTGTTAGCAAAAAAAAAAAAAAAAAAAAAAAAAAAAAATGGAAGAAAGGGGCCACAAAGTTGGAATTTAGTTGATTTAGAAAAAAATCTTAAGTGTGATGTTATTTACATACTCAGCTTCAGGGCTACGATCCATGCTTTCTATACTAGCAAAAGTATATTACTAGAGCCTAAACATTTTTAGCAGAGTTTTTCTAAGTGAACTATAAGTTTTGCTTAAAGATGGTAGTAATAGATTTCTCCAACCCAAGTTTTAATATAAAACTCTCATGCCCTCCCTACACACTCACACACACACAAACACACACACACACACACACGCTCACATTGAATACTCCTTGATGCACATACCAATACCCTGTGATGCTCTTTCTTCTAATTTTACACACTCTAGGTCCCTCTCAGTAACAAAGAAACACATCTCTTTGAGAAACACATCCAGTACCTTATCTAAAGAGGACTGAACCTCCCAACAAAGGAAACATTAACTTCATGTCATTTCTAGCTATGGATTATTTATGACGCTCTGTAAGATAAACATCAGAAATATTTTTTGATTGCATGGCTTTGTCCATTAATTACTTTTTAAAGGTATCAAGAAACAGATTCCTTGTACTTTTCCAAGTCTACTGTCTGTTAAGGAAATCAGTGTTGACAACACAGTTACACTGATTAATGTGGTATTAAGGCATATAAAATATGATCTTTCTAGAGGTTCAATTATTGCCTTTGTAAGAGAGAACTGATATTATCAACTATTCTGAGGTTATGTTTGAATAACAAAGAAATTACTCAGTGTTTGTTAACATTAGTTTAGAAATTTTAACACTCACCAAGTTCTGTTTATTCTTCTAAAGCATCACACTCCATTCTACTAGTCATTTTTATAAACCTTGTAGGGTTTGAAGTTTGGATAATGTGAGGGAAATATTGAGTTTCCCCACAAAGGATACATCTAAAATTCTATTAAGAACTGTTACTTAGGGTTGATTTTTCTGCTTTTGTAAAAGGATATCCATGTATTGGCATGGCACCTCCAGAGTATGTCCAATTTTTATTCATCCAGACTCCCTAATGATCTTCCTCAAAATGCAAACTACTGAATTAATACAAAGCATTTATTGCTAAATAAGAAAAATATTGCATTTCATATGAGCTACCAAATTAAAATTTAATTAAAAAATGGAAAAACTAACTCTCCCTTAAAATGACCTTGTCAAAGGTCATGAGCTTTTGGGGGTTTTTTTCCTCCTAGAGGTCTTCAAACACTAAATTGAAACCATAATGCACGGTTGCCCTGCCCCCAACCCATCACCACTAGTCACTCAGTGTTCCTTCCCTTACAATCTTTACCAGAGCCCAGTAAGCCATCCATAGGGATGGAGAATATGAGATTAAAATGAATAAGAAAATAAAGACGAATAGGGTAAAGTTTGACAATAAGGTTTTATTTCCCTGTAATTACAGCTTTAAGCTGTTAGTTGAGAAAATTTAATAAAATGCTAAGGTTTCCTACTATGTTTCATTCTAAACAGTAAAACACCTTAATAGCTTGCCACTCCATGACTGACCAATAATTCAACAGCAGAGATTTGTGTATGTGTGTGGAAAGATATTTTCCTATACATTTTATAAAGAAAATCAAAATGGGTATCACTCTGGGTTTATCATTATAAAGGAAAAAGAAAGTAAATAAGGGAAAAAGGAAGTAAATCTTTGATTAGTAATTCTATTACTGAAATATGTTTAGGTATAAATGTTTGGACTCTTTTTTAATTACTATGACTAAGCAAAGATCTCAGTGCAACCAATATCTAATATTTTTCTAGGAATTTGTTGGTATTCAGTAAAGAAATCAAAAATCATTCAACAGTATAGCTTTTGAGAAGTATTCAATCATGCTGGAAAATTCAGCTTTCCATTAATTTCCTATTGTTCTTAAATTCTTCGTTAAGAGAAACAGCTTTTGTTGCTGCAAAACAAACCAAAGATATAAATAAATATAAATAAATAATAGCACCCAGTAAGAAATCTGAGCTTAGTGAAATAACAGACAAATAGAGTGCAAATGTGTAGCCATCTGGAGAATAAGAAAATCAAAAGTAATAAGCAGCATTGGGAATTTATTACAAGGAAATTATGCCAACAGCTTCTTACAGCAGTTTTCTATGGAAATGTTCAAATTAGTGGGTAAAGAAATACATTTTATACTACATATTTGGACCCTACTGATTATCATTTTATACATGATTTCATGGCATAATACTTGCTAAGTAATCTAAATTAGCTTGACTATAAATGCTTTCATACTGATACAAAATTTGCTATCACACCACACTCAGTCCCCATGAATGACGCAGTTTGATGGAACTGCCTAGAGCCAAAGGTTGTGACACTGGGCTGTCTGAGACATTGTGTTTCAGAGAAATTAATAAATCTGAAGGCAACTAAGATATCAGGAAGATACAAAACAGAAGGTAGAAAGGAAAGAAGATAATGAAAACTATATGGGTCAAAGAGCAAGCAAAAGTTAATCCTCACCGTACTTCAGGATGGATATATATTTCACATGGGATCTGAAATTATTCCCATCATCGTAAGATTCACTTTGACAATTCTAACTCTCATCTGCTACTTCAGAATCTAGATGAAGGAGAAGGAAGAGGGGAAAATATTTAAAATGTTCTTTCCCCAGTGTCTTCATCAATTTTCAAATTTTGTACTAATTTTCAATATTTTAGAAATCAAATTCCATTATCAGGTGACATTTTCCTGCTACATCTTCAAATGTAGAAATTGTTATTTTATTTGTCTTTGAATCCACAGTGCCTGGCAAATATTATGTGCTCAAAAATATTTCTCCTACCTTCTATTTTTTTGAACTATGAATAAGAGACTTCTGTAGAATTTTAAAGTAGTAATAACGGAGCAGAAAAAAACTAGCTTTAATTTGTTCCACTTAAGAGCTAATTAAATTTTTTTAAAAGAGCAATTTTGGAGCCTATTTTCTTAAAGCTATGCTGTTCTCTCTCATAGCCACTGGCCATTTTAAATTTAAAAATTAAAAATAGAGTTTTGTGGTTACATTACCCACCTTCAAGTACTCAATAGTCACATGTAGCTATAAGCTACTGCATTATAGCATAGTTCTATGATTGCAGAAAAGTCTTTTGGACATTGTTTTAGAATGTAAGCACCACATCCTCAGTTCCCATGCATATTTTCTAAATTCTATGTTAATTTATTCATTCAAAAAATGTATTCAATATATATTATATGGTTAGCATGAAAGATGCCAGAGTATATAAGACCCTTTTCTGACTACTTCAAATCTTTTGTAAGAACGTATCGGTCAACAGACAGTAACAATAGATATAGAGAGGCAAGTGCTATGCCATGAAGGGAGTACTGGAGAAGGTCATGATTAGAGGCAAAAAATGAACAAGAAGAAGACTACTGAAGTGATCACGGTAAACATGATTTATTATTATAATATTTATAATAATATAATAAGCTATAGGAAGTAGAAATGAAGAGGAGGAAAAAGAATCAAATGCCATTTAAGAGACAGAAACTGTGTGATTTGATGATAAATTTAATGAAGTAACAGAGAAAGAGGGATCTAGCATGACTTCCATATCTCTGACCATTATCCAAAATCAGATCTATGTGAGGAAAACCAGGTAGGATAGAGGAGAGAGGACCACTGAAACTTCACACATGGGTGCCTTTTAATGATGATGGTATATGTTTGCCCAATAGTCATAAGAAGCTTTGAGACTGGAAACAGAGTTTTGGGAATTATGATTATAGAATTATAGTTGGATCAGATCACATAACAGCAATAAAGAAAAGGGACTTTGACACTAAAGTTAAGAATAATTAACCTTAACAATTTCTACAAAAATTGAAGAAACAAGTGCATGGTATAATAGTAAACAAGAGAAAGAAGTTTCAATGTGAAGTTTCCAAAAAGTCACAGAAGACAAAGACTAGAAAAATGAAAACAGGTCCATTTCATCTGGCAGTAGGTCCTGGATTACCTTAACACAAGCATTTCCCATAAATGATAGGAGCAGAGTTTAGGTAACAAGATGTCCAGGATAGAAAGAATGACGATGATGAAAGACAGGCATACACCACCCTTTCTAGGACTTGAGCAGATATGAGCTGGAAAGAGCTAGACATGAAGTGAGATGTGTAGATGCAAAGGAGGAGGCTATTTGTTTTCTGGTTTTAATGTGGAAAAGATTTGAACATTTATTGCTGTGTCCATAAGCTATGCATATAATAGGTTGATCTTAGCTGGTTTGGATTGATTGCAGTTTATCTCCAGAGCTACTGACCCTTGGCCAATGCTGTAGAATGTATTAACTAAAGATAAATGATGTTTTGTAACCATGGATCCATGAATTGTTTCAAAGCAAGATATATCAGCCTGCCAGCACTGTTTAGCAATAATAATTGAATTTATAATTGCACCTAATTTCAGTGGAGCTGGGGGAGGAAGACATTCAAAGTAAAGGCTGCCAACATAGCTAGAATATGTCTATTTGAAAAGCTTATCATAAGAGATCTCCACTATGAGCAGATTTGGATCTCCTGCCACAAAAGTGATTCATGTGCACACCAGTAGTGGTTACAGGCTGGTACAGGCTAAGAGCACCTGTGTGACCCAGAGGTGGGAGAACAAAGAAACCTGTGCTTGGGATCTCTGGACCTTTTTTCATGCATATTTTTCTTGTGTTGTTTCTGTGTTATGCCATATTCTTTGCCTGTAATAAAGTTGTTCTGGGAGTACAAACCAAGCAAATGGAGTTTCCTAAGCAATGCAACACTTAAGGTGATTAAAGTGTAATTACCTCTGGCTAACATAACTTCATTAGAAAAAATGCTCAGCTTTTTAGGCCTCTTAAAGAATTTGTCGTACATGTAATTTTTAAGCTCAACAATTACAATTTATAAGGACAGTTTTTACCTCAAGGAAAATAAATTTAAATAATAAAGTATCATTTACACAAAAAAATTTTTTAATGAAAAAAATTGTCTAGTTTGTTCATGAAATGACTTACCATCAGTACAGGGATGTTCGAATAACTAATTTCCATGAAAACTATACCTTGTTGGCTGTGTTCTTTTACTGTCCCTTCCACCATATTGTCACCCCTCCACCTGTGCTATTAACATGCTCAGGTATCTTATCCACTTCATTCGTTTGTGGTTAAATCCAAAGGTTTTCCAGCATCTAAGGGTAGCTTGAATCCCTTCGATTCTTATCAAAGGTCTTTTAATTACCTCTGTTCACACAAACATTCAATAAGTACCCAGAAAGGGAGGCCAGATGGTAATATTCATAGATATAAATGAACATAAAATCAACATATCATGATTAAAGTAGAATATTATCAGGCAGTTTAATAAAAAGCCAATGAAAGTGGCTTTTCAATTAGATGTAGAATTCAGTTCCTTATGGGCCCCCGTATTGACCTTGGGAAAGGTAGTTAATGTATTTGAGCTTCAGTCTTTTGCTGTAGAAAATGGTGAAAATAACAATAGTTCACAGTGCTATTGTGAGGGTTAAAATAAAATCATGTGTATAGAATATTTAGTCCACTCACCAGCATATAATAACCACTTAATAAATGGTAATAATTTAAATTCAATGAACTAGGGTTCATTAACAAATTACATGACCATAAATACAATGCATGCAAATATCAGTTTTCTAATATGAGGGTAAGTTTAAATTTACCTACTGAAATTTTATGAACATTGACTGTAATATATAAAGGAACAATGGCTAGACCGCAGATGAAAATAAAACTTTGATCCACACATCTGCATCAACCAGTCCAGAAAACCAAACTTTCACAGTAATCAGCCTGGAACAGTCAGGATTTTGTTGATGATTGCCAGCTTTCCCAATTATTGCCCCTGGTTCCAACTTAAGACCAACCAGAGTAAGTCAAATAAGATCCTCAGATCAGTCACATAAAATGTCCTGCTTCTAGTTAGCCCTCCTTCAGCATCCCCATATCAACAACCTCCAACCAAAACATAACTGCAGCTTTATAGCTTCCCCACTCCCCTGTCTGCCTTCAAGTATCTGTCCAAGGCAAGTGATGGTGGCTGACTCCCTTCCTATAGCAAGATCTGAATAAATAGCCCCTGCTTGTTTGAATGTGAGTGGTCTTCTTCTATTTCAGTAGCATTATAAATGAAGTTAAAAGTTCAACATCAATTTTAAAATGCAATATACGGCATAAACACACACACATATGGCACGCACACACACACAATTAGTGTTATTGTGCAGAAAACAGACATGAAGTTACCATGGCCATTAGGGCTCACACGCATGCAACCATCTGCTTGTAGATGTACTAATTTTCCACTAGTATATAACCCAGATGCTTATAAAATAATTGGTCCAATTCTCTCCCTATATCATTACCTCAATACAAATTCTTTAACTACTTTAAATATTCCAGTTGCTTAACCTTTCTGCTTTTCCCTGCTCATTCACCATACATCATCTTCCTTTCCATTTTTTCTGTACTCCAGAGTCTAGCATTTTAGCAGCCAATCTTCTCATTAATCTCATTGATTTTCAGTCCCATAAACCTAGATAAATTCTGGGTAGATAAATATGGTTCCCCCTCCCCCTGCAAGAAATTATCTTTCCTAGAGGGCTCCTCTCTTTTGTGAAATGGTTTTCCCACTCCATCCACATAGTCTGACATTGCTGTCAATCGAGGTAACCTCATCCCCAACATAAATGCTCTTGGGACAGGCCAATTGAACCAACTGGGGTCAAGAAGATCCATCGAGTGTTTCTAGATTTTTTTTTTTAGGTGCAAGTTTGGGAATTTATGAGTGCAGTGCTCTTGGAAATCATGGTTCTAGACTGGTGGAATAAGCCTGTGTGAGAATGAAGTCCATATTCTAATGGTAAAAGAAAGAAGAATATATGCAGTTATCCCATCCACTGCTATGAAATATAGAAAAATTCTGAGGATGTGGTAACAAGTTAGTTGAGTCTGAGGTTGTGTTGAATCTGAAGTGAGAGCAGGAGAGGGAAGTCTGGGTTGTGGAGAGCAATGGGATGTTCTGGGAGCAATCCCAAGGGACCCCATCCAGGGATAGTGGGTAGACTAACAATCAAGCTCATATTTTTGATAGTTCTGGAAATTAGTCAGATATAGTTTATAATAAAACCTTTATGACTACAACAATTAAGTGACAAGTATTATGTATCCAAGATAGAAATGCACTAATTTCTGTACGAATGTCTAAATAACAATTCAACATAAACAGCTGAAAATCCTTTGGATTCTTGGATGTGTCTTGCAATAGTCATGTCTCTTAAACTTGTTAAGTTCTTAAACTTGTTAAGGGTTATTCTAAAACCTATTACTACAGCAGGACCAAGAAACAATATTTTGAGGAGATCTCAAGAATGCTGTATTTGGGTCAAGATGCCCACAGCAATACACAACACATTGTCCAATGAAAAATAGGAGTGATAAGCTACCAAGTCAATTAACAAATATTTATTGAGCAGTGGATGAATGTCAAGAAAACGATAATAGAAACTACTTTTAATTGGCAATCCGGAGATCCTTATATTCCTTGAAGTTGCTGGATCTGACTTTGGTCAAATCATAAATCAGCTGTGAATATCATTTTTCTCACCTTTAAAGGGGAGGTGTTGGAGTGGATCATCCTATTTGGGGTGCTTTAAATTCTCAGCCTCTCCTCCAGGAAGCTGTTCAGTATTTTACTTGATTGGACAGGCACTTGAAAAATGAAATATCAAGAGAAGAAATCAACAACTGTTCAAAGGAATAATACATGAGCCACCACAAGGCGGCCTTATAAGCAAAATAAAAGGTGGAAATAATTATTTTAAAGGAGTAAGACAGTTACAGACAAGATGAAGTTCCTCTAGGCGGCCATCGGAGGGAGACTCTGCTTCCCTTCCTCAGGCAGTGAGGAGTGGGGGTCTGGGGGACTGGGGGACTGGGGGACAGGGGGACAGGGGTTGGGGGATTAAGAAACTGGAGGACACGGGAAGAGGCGGACAGAAGTACTGGGGCTAGAGGAATGGGGTATTATGGGACTGGGGGATTGGGGAATTGTTTTCAAACACGCGGGGGGCCAGGACTCCCCGTAGCCTCCGGAAGGGGAGACAAGGCGACTGTAACCCCCTAAGGGTAGCTGGTAAACCTCGTCTGGTTCTCCCGGGGAGCCACACAGGCAGGCCGCCAGAGGGAGTGGGCGCCACCCGGAAGCTCCCCGGGGCCGAGAGGCGAGCGCTCCCGACTCACCGGCTCTGCGCGTGTCGCCGCACATCTCCCCAAGCCGCGCAACCCACCCCGCCTGCTCCTCTGCGGCCCAGGCCCCAGGTCGGTTACCCGGTGTCCAGGCAACCTCTGGGGAGGCGGCGGCGGCGGCGGCGGCGGCGGCGGCGGCAGCATGTGGAGCGGGGTGGTTGCTGCTCCTGGTTCAAGCCTTGGCCCCCGAGCTCCAGGCCGCCCCCGCTCAACTTCCTTTCCCTTTCTTTGGTAACCGACTTGCCAGCTCAACTCCTTTTCCTCTTTACTGGAGAGGGAGGGAGTGGAGACAAGTCAACGCCCTTTCCTACAACTGTGAGGTTAAATGAGAGATCACAGACTTCGTTCACCTTCGCGAGGGCCGCAGGGCCTCCAAGTCTTTCTTGCCACTTGGGACGATAAAACCAGGACTCTTCGATAACCCCACGTGGTTTGGTTGTTAGTTCTAAGGTGACTTCAGTATTGAGAAACCTAAACAAACTGTTAAGGAGGAAAGGATAGCTTTTCTTAGTGTCTGAGGGTTGAAGTGGAGAAAATGACGAAGTCAAGCCATTTGTCTAAGGGTCTATTTCTTTTTTTTCTTTTTTCTTTTTTTTTTTTTGAGACGGAGTTTCGCTTTTGTTACTCAGGCTGGAGTGCAATAGAGCTATCTCGGCTCACCGCAACCTCCGCCTCCTGCGTTCAGGCAATTCTCCTGCCTCAGCCTCCTGAGTAGCTGGGATTACAGGCACGCGCCACCATGCCCAGCTAATTTTTTATATTTTTAGTAGATACGGAGTTTCACCTTGTTGACCAGGATGGTCTCGATCTCTTAACCTCATGATCCACCCGCCTCGGCCTCCCAAAGTGCTGGGATTACAGGTGTGAGCCACCTTGCCCGGCCCAGGGTCTATTTCTTTCAAAAACAAATTTTTGAAGCATCGATTCTTCTGACAGAATACTAAGTGATAGGCCAGGTGCTGTGGCATGTCCTGTCCCAGGACTTTGGGAGGCCGAGGCAGGAGGATACCTTGAGCCCAATGGTTAGAGGCTGCAGTGAACCAGGATCGCCACCACTGCACTCCAGCCTGGTCGATAGGTGATAGACAGACAGACAGACACAGACAGACAGACAGATAGATACATAGATAGATAGCACAAAATATATCACCTAAATTTTGTTCCTTCATCTGTGAATATACACTGTGAACTGAAATAGGCTTCAGAGAAAGACATCTGTGCCTTATGCTATTCTCACCGTCTTCTTGAATGAAAACAAACACTGGACTATAAACTAAAGATGGTTAAATAGGATCAGAATAAAGATACACATTCTCATCCAGAGAAATCATTTTTCCAGGCAACACTGGGAACTGCCTGCCAAGGTTAAATCAGCAAAGTCTATTACTTTAAGAAGCAATTTAATTAGTAATCCTTTCTAAGAGGGGAAAACCAACAAGTCCATACCTGTAATATGATCCTTTCAGCCAAAGATGGAAAAAAGGAAGCCAGAACTAGCAAACAGGTGGAAGGTCTTAATCTTAAATTAACATATGCAAAAGCAGAGCTCTTTTTGTAATTAAAAAACGGATTCCAGAATGCACTCCACTTTCCCATCTCCCTCCATTGATTATTAAACTTTGGCTTGTTCTCAATACAATGTTAAATTATAAACCAAATGAATCATTTGCATGCCAGTAAATATGTATTCATGAGGGTTCACAATATCTAAATGTGCATATTAAAACAATACCTAGATTTTTCTCATAAAATAAATCTTTACCTACTAGAAATCTCATTCTTAACAAGTTTCTCTTAATTAATTAGAACTCCTTGATAATTGCTAAACCCCTATTGTGGCAGGCAGAATTCTAAAATGGACCCCAAGGACCCCACTCCTGCTATACACACCCCCATAATCCTCTGGATTTAAATATGATGGATTTTATTTTCCTGATTAGTTTGTTACATGACACAATTGACTTGAAAAAGGGAGATTATCCAGGATGGGTTGGTCTTGATTGGGTAAACCCTTAAAAGGGACTGACCTCTTCCTGGAGTCAAAGATTTGAAGAATCATAGTGATTTATCAAAGGGGTATTATCTATTATCAGCTTTGAAGACTGACAAGACCCTATGGCAAGGAAGGCAGGCAGCCTCTAGCAGCTGACAATGACACAGGTGACAGCGAGCAAGGAAATGGGGACTTCATTCCTACAACTGCAAGGAACTGAATTCTACAAATAATCTGAATGTTCTTGGAAGAGAACACTGGACTCCAAATGGGAAAATGTGCTAGCCAGGCGCAGTGGCTTATGCTTGTAATCCCAGCACTTTGGGAGGCCAAGGCAGGTGGATAACTTGAGGCCAGGAGTTCAAGACCAGCTGGCCAACATATTCAGCCCTACTAAAGATACAAGAAATTAGTCAGGTATGATGGCACACACCTGTGGTCCCAGCTACTCGGGAGGCTGAGGTAGGAGGATCGCTTGAGCTTGGGAGGCAGAGGTTGCAGTGAGTCGAGATTGCACCACTGCACTCCAGCCTGAGCAACAGAGCAAGACCCCATCTACAAAAAAGACTATGTCCTGCCATCACCTTGATTTCAGCCTCATGGGACCCTGAGCAGACAACCTAGGCAACCTCGCTTGGACTTCTTACTTAGACAACTGTGAGGCTAATAAATGGACATTGTAAACTGCTAGATTTACAGTAATTTGTTACACAGCCAAAAAATACACATATTAACTTACTTCACATAAACAAAAGTAGGTATTTTAAAATAAAAAATATTGGAGTGTCTCAATAAACCCAATGCAGGATTATAGCAGAAACTCAAATAGAACAGAAATCAGACACTGTAAAATAAGTCAATATCAGTTTTATCATCATAAACAAGAACTTAATAGGGATGGGGTTTAGGATATGCTACCCTAAAATTTTGTAAGTTGAAGAAATTTTAGAAAATTGCAGATTTCTCCATGCATCTTTCGGAAGAAGGTCATAAAACCTGGAAATGATTTTCTGACCTTCCCCAGGCTCAGGTCATAAGACCCTCATGTGGGAAGTGCCCTCCCTACACCTGGAGGAAAGAAGCATCCTTATTCCTTATCACTGAAGACACAGGGACACAGAGAAGGATCCAACCCAACAGGCCTTGTTAAGTTTCCCCAGTTTATTACCATTAGCTCATACCCTTTCTGTGTGTCGCATTTTTCCATGACTATTCATTCTTCATCAAACCTACTAGAAAAATCACTCAGGTTTAACTGTTTCTTTAGGTATTCATTTCCTTACAAAGGCTCCCAGGGTCATGTAAAACTTCCGTGTGTATGCTTTCTCTTGTTAATATGTTTTTTTGTTATAGGGGCCTCAGCTATGAACCTAAATGTACAGAGGAAAAGGTATTTTTCCTCCTGTACAATAGGCAAGGTGATCTTATTAGCAAATAGCAAACCAGATTTTCCACAAAAGCAGAACAAACATAACTATCCAATTTCTCAATAGCAAGAATAGAAGGCAGAGTAAAATAATATAATAATCATGCATAGAGAAGACGATAATCAAATAAAAATACGTTTCCTACAAAACTATCATTCAGGAGCAGAGTTAAAAATATTTTAAAAGAAAAAAAATTAACATTTGCAGACCCACACTGAAAAAACTACTTTAAGAAAAAAGAAAATAGTGAGTAAAGACTTTGGACAGATACATAGTTAAATCTAAGCAAGCTTTCAGTATGTGAAACATGTTCAGCCATGTACTCATCTTCCAAGTGTTCTTGGTTTTCTCTTCCTAATCATCCTTTATCCAATTAGTCCTTAGGACCTGAGCATGCTTATGTTTTAATATATTTCCTGACATTTCATTTCATGAATTATATTTAACAACGAGTATTCTATACTCCTTTAAAAATTTACATCATAATTATTTGTAGCCTCTTTTAGGGTAACTAAATGCATATCACACCTGTCATGGAGAATAAGCTAAGTCCTCTTATTTACTACTAATAATATTTTATTAAGATAGAACATAAGGGTCCACAGTAGGTAACTGGAACTAGTATCTAATTATATCTGAAAGACTGACACGATATCAATTTTTCTAAATTAAAAATTATTGTCTTTGGCAGCATTCTCCAAAATTCAATTTGCTTACATCGAATTACTTCTTACAGCAACCAATTCATTTTTATTTTGTAACTCATACTGATATGCAATGAGAAAGTAAGAAGATCCAAATGAGTATTACTGATATTTCCCTATAATGGCCTGTTATTTCAAATATTTCAAAATTGGTCCATTTTGCCTTGTCATAAATGGTATAGAATGTGAAGACCATCTTAGCCCCATTCATGTGATAAAGATTACTATTACAGCTTCCTAAAGCTAATATTAAATGATCCTAAATGCTAAACGTTCCTACAGATATCTCTATTGTCTCACTCTGTGTGTAAGTTGTAGTCATTTATCCAGGCCAGTGCTCCTCAAGTTTCATCATAAGCTTTAATTCATCCCATCTGTTTATCATAAAAGATGTGGATCTGTTCTCAATCTGTGTGCTTTGTAGAATATGTAGCCTCCAACACTTCATCAGAGAACACAACCTCAGACTCTCTCTGGGCAGTTTTAATAAAGCTTGCCTGAAAGGATACAATTTACAGAATATAAGTTGTTTTAAAGATGTAAAGTACTATGTCTTTTGGACATGCTTTAAGTTCTTTTTCTGAAGCAGATGAAACCAACACCAGATTATGTATTCAAACATTATTACCTTACTACATTACAGAGTCATTTTTACTGTGTTCCATCACTCTAATTTATCAAAGGGCACTATATTAAAAAGTCATATGAAACATATCACTACTTTAAAAAGTTTCAGATTATATTGTCCATCGTGTCATTCAATGGTCCCATGCAAAATTCTATGTAAGAACCTGGGACATGTGTGTGTGCACACACGTGCATGTGCTAGTGTGTGGGAGGGGGTAGAAAGAGGGAAAAAGCGAGCAAGGTGAAGAGGTTAAGTGCAAGGACAAATCAGACAACAGTTGTTTAACCCAATAAACTAGTGTAAATCATGTATAAACTGTGAGATCTACATAGCTGAGTATCCCCTTATGTCTTGTCTGCCAGATGTTAAGCTTAATTTAAGCAATTATGTTAGCTCTTTGGTCCTGATTTTCTACTGATGCTTATATTATATTAGTATTTCATTATATATGTTTGTTGTATTAGCCTTAGATTTTTTTTGTGAGAAGAGTGAGTTATAGAAAAGTAAAAATAAAAGTGAATATAAAGGGAATGCTCAATAAAGATATAGCTTGTGAAATTCATGTCATTTAATAAGCTGTT